CTCGTTTTCTTAAATCTCTTATAACTTCTTCATCTTTTGATTATAAGACAACTTAAGCTTTCCTTAAGCTTAGTTATCATCTAATGATCCAAACCCAACTTTTAAAACAACAAATAACCAAGAAAATAGAAAACTCACCTTTGTTGTGGCTTTCTCTCGTATGGAAGAACAAAGAGGAGGAGAAGAGATATTCTTCTTATCCCTTTCCCCCGTATATATCCTCAACATAATACAATTTAATCATTTAATGGTTAAATGACCATTTTGCCCTTTAATTCTTTTAATAATTACTAACAATCATTCCAGATAAATCATTGAATTATCTAATTATTCTACTTTAATCACCAAATTCTGAAGTTTTACAATTTAGTCACTAATCCTTATTTTGGGATGTTACAAGAAAAGTACAAAATATAAATATAATTCAGTTAGTACTTATTTATTAAAAATTCAATTTATATTAAATGCAATTTTATTGTGAATGAAAATATTTTATACAAAATATATACATATTTATTTTAGGTAATTAATTTTTTTCTCAATGATGTGTTTAATATCTCATTCTATTATTATTATTTTAATATTAAATGGATAGTATTTCTTAAATATTATTATCTGATAAATACATGTATAACTTTTAACTTCCTTTATTTAAAGAACTTTAATCCCTAATACATGGTAATTATTCTCTTAGAAAGCAACCGAAATAATAATAACTATCAATTTCCAAGGTTTTGAGTTAAATGTCATACTTGTTTGTTTTAACATTTTTTAGAGTAAACTATTTATTTAGTACCTAAACTATTAGTTTTGGTATATTTTAATATTTAAACTTTCAATGTTTATAAATCATATCTAATATTTAGTTTTTATTTTATTTTAGTATTTTGTCTTTAAAAATTTAACGCGTTTAGTAGGCTAATTTTTTACTGGAACGATCGGAAAAAAATTGCTTGAATAATGATGAACTAAAATTATTTGTTTGAATAATCCATATACTCCAATAACCCCTAAAACACAAAGAACACAACGTGAATCCAATTGGGAGACACATTGTTCTCCATTTGTTTTTGCAATAATAGTCAAAATTAAATCCAAATCTTAAACTCTAAACAATAACTCCTAAACTCTAAACATTATCTCTTAAATTATACATAAACTTTAAATCTTAAACCTTAAATTTAAACCCTAAATCTTAAAAAAAAAACCAAAATATGAAGGAAAAAAAATATGAGAGACGCATTGCACTCCATGCGTCTCCCCTAAATTTATATGTATCTTAGACGATAACAAATACCCTATTTTAGAAAATAATTTTACCATTATTTGAGTGAATAAAAAATTTCAACACATTATCTAAAAGTTTATCGTTGTTTAGTACCTAAACTATTAATTTTCATATAGTTAAGTACTTAAACTTTTAAATTTTTCAAAATTTAACGTTAAAATTTGAACGAAATACTAAAATAAAATAAAAATTAAATTTTTTAAATGTGAAATACTAAAATTTTAAAAAAAATTAAACTTTAAGTATAATTATGAAAAAAAATTAAATATTAAAATATTAAAATAAATCAAAACTTATAATTTAAATACTATAAGCATAAATTATCATATTTTTAACTGGCCATTAATTTTACCGACAGCCGTGAGATCGTGACTTTCCCTCCAAAGGGGGAGGGGAGGATTGAGGAGAATCTCACGAGCTATCCTGCGCCTTCCTTCCCATGTGAAGGTTAGCAGCAGCACCGGTCGCACTCCTCCTCTTCTCTAGCCCATCATCTATAATATAAATCATTATGCCTTTTTGTCAGTAATTAGCCCCCAAACTCACCCTTTGTTTAGTTGACTTTTCAATTCCATCCTCCTTTCCTTTTTCTCAGCGCAAAACCAAAATGGGGGCCAACGCGTCGGAACCTACCTCGACCCGGACTCGCTCAAGTCGGTCCCCTCGAACTGCGCCGAGTCATCTGAGCTCATCTCCCTCCGATTCTCAATCTAGTCCCACCACCGTATCTTACACATCCGCTTCATCTTACACAAAAGAGAATTCGTGGGAGACTTCAATTTCAAGTCCAAGTTCACTTTCAAGCTTCCGCGAATCCATCTCCGAAAATCCTCACATCTACGACATAACCGAAATCCGAGCTGCCACCACCAACTTCTTAGCCAAGCGCTACTCCTCCAATTCATCCTCTACCGCCGCTAGCTGGCGCTGCAATCTCCGCGGTCGTGATACTGTCGTTTTCCAACGCAAGTTTCGCATCAAAATCCAGAAGTCTCAACTCAAAGAACGATTTTCCATCATCTGTAGAAGCAATCACATGAGTATTATCAAACTCCTCGGCGCTTCTATATCCGGCGACTATATTTACCTCGTTTACGAGTTCATCGAAGGATCAAATCTCGTTGAGTGCTTGAGAAACCCTAGAAATCCGAGCTTTACCGTTCTCTCGACGTGGATTTCTCGGATTCAAATCGCTACGGATCTCGCTCACGGTCTCGATTATGTTCACAATAGCACCGGATTAAATATCAACATCGTTCATAATCATATAAAAAGCAGTAGCATTATTGTTACAGAGCCTTCTTTCAAAGCCAAGATTTGCCATTTTGGAACGGCACAGCTTTGTGGTGAAACGGACAAGAAGGAAACACTAGAAACCGGCTCTTCGAGACGGGAAACAGAAATTGAAGAAGGTAATGTGAGTTTTAGGGAATTGAATAGATCCGATAGTACGGACAGGAAATTCGAAGCGCTAAGAGATTACATGTCGCCGGAATTCAAATCCGGCGGCATCATGACACAAAAATCTGATGTTTACGCCTTCGGTGTGGTGATTTTGGAGCTGTTATCCGGGAAGGAGCAGTTGAAATATCGATATGACAAAAGGACCGGTGATTTTCTAAGGACGTCATTGGTGGATACTTCGAAGGCAGCCGCGGCGGAGGGAAGGGAAGGGTTGAGGAAGTGGATTGATAGAAGGTTGAATGACTCGTTTCCAGTTGAGGTGGCGGAGAAGCTGATACGTCTAGCGTTTGATTGCGTACACGTGGATCCTGATCAACGGCCCGATATGGGACACGTGGCAGGGAAGATATCCAAACTTTATCTTGAGTCGAGGATTTGGTCGGATCATGTAAAACTTCCGACCGGTATTTCGGTCTCCTTGGCACCTAGATGAGCTGGAAATATAGCAGCCTGGTCATACTTGAGTTTTTTTAGTACGTACGCTTGATTTTGACAGATGTGGAAAGATACCGATTTGATTCTTTTGCTTAATCAACATATTGGTTGAAATCTCATTGTTTATTTTATGAAAAATACATTTGCCGACGTTATGAATTCGACAATCATAACATTGTTGGCGTATTGCTGTAATACACACCAAGTCGGTCTTTAAAATGTAAAGTGATTTTTTTCTCCGACAATCTCAGCTGTTTGTTCATTTTCTCTTCTCTAATTTCTTATTTTCTATCATGCCAAACAAAGGAAAACCGGAAAACAAATTTGTTTGCATCACCAACAGAAACTGGAAACTAATTTGGAAAGTAGCTCGTTCATTAGTGTGAAAAACTTTTATGGGGTATTCGGCACACCATATTGGAGATATCTACGCCATAGTAAAACCCAACGGTGGATATAAAATGAGCTCAATAAGCTCTTGTGTGGGCTTAAGAACAAATCAAGCAAAAGAGAAATAAGTTCTTTTCCATAATATAGGTTTGCATGATACAGGCAATGTACATGTTGATCCAGAATGCTAATTTTTGCCGGTAAGTCGACCATCTGAGGGAAAGGAAGGTTGGGAGATGGAAGAGCCAACCTCTTGATGATGCAGTGGTGTCGTAATCTGGTGCCTAATTTCTTGTTGATTTAGCATCTTCTGAAGCCTGTACAAACAGAAGAACAAAATCATTAACATTATCGTTTTCAATTCATATTTTTTTGTTTGTGACAACCTAAAGAAAACTTGATTGAAACGATAAGGAATGCATATATCTTTGAACATTAAATCATGACATGCCATACAATTTGCGTCGCAACTTACTACCGAAGGCAACATTTTCCGTCTAAGCATTGTGCGTTCGTAAGCTTCTTTTGATCCTGAAGTGAAGAGGACTTCATCTCCGTCCACGGTCATAACGCTATTTAGTCCAACAATAAAGTTGTGAGCCTTTTAACAAGCGGTATAGTCCTCCCATTCACCACGACCATCCATTATGACAAACCACACTCGCTTTCTGTTCGAAAGGTGTATAATTGGTGTTGTTAAATATTGAGATTATTATAATATTTTAAACTAAAATAAAGATAAAATAACAAAATATTAAATATTAAAAATTTATTAAAATATTTTAAATTAAAATTAAATTGATAAAGTATATAGTTTTTGAGATAAAAATTATTATTATACTGAATTTTATTGCCTTTTTATTAAAATAGTGAAACATGTAACCTTGATGATCATTAATATAAAATATATATTATGATAGTAAAAAAAGAAAAATAATAGTATGGTGAATAATAAATATAATTTAGGGTAAATTATGCGTTTAGTACTTAAATTATTAATTTTGGTATATTTTAGTACTTAAACTTTTAATTATTCAAAATCATACCTAAAGTTTAGATTTTGTGTCATTTTAGTATCATATTCAAAATTTAACATTAATTTTTTTAAAAATTGAAAGTTTAGATACTAAAACATATCAAAAATGATAGTCTAAGTACTAAACGTATTAAAATTTTAACGGTAAGTACTAAATGAAATAAAAACAAAATATTAGATATAATTTTTTAAAAAAATAAAAATTTAAATATTAAAACGAATCAAAATTTATATTTTAAGCACTAAATGACTAATATAACCTATAATTGAACTAAAAATTAGCTGTAATGACCAATCAGAAAGGGAAGAACGATCTAGAAGCATTTAGCATTCCACAAATAAAAAATTAAAAATGATAAACCCTACCTGAAGAAACTGATCGCACTTGTACTAGTTTCCTACCTGCCTTCTTGATACATCTTCTCCCAAAACCAAGAACGCGTCGAAAATGGCCTCTGCCAACGCTCTTTCATCTTCTATTCTTTGCACTACCAAACAGGTAATATCTTTTCACGGCTTCATTTCATTTTCTCTACTGTTAGCTGCAACAACACTAGCTTCTGAGAGGCACAGAGTGCTACCTTGTGTCATGAAATGTTTTGTCTTTGTTTTTTAATATATGCATCTGGGTAATGGAGAAAATTTGAAAGATTGGTGCCTTTACGGTTTCTAACGGTTCTTTTTTTATGATTGCAGGGGAGTTTGAGGAGGGGAAATCATCGGCAGAACCAAAGGCTGAACTGCAGGCAAGGAAATGGTCGATTTGGTGTGAAGGCTTGTGCAAAGGAAATTGCATTTGACCAGAGCTCAAGGGCTGCTATGCAAGCTGGCATTGATAAGCTTGCTGATGCTGTTGGCCTTACTCTTGGTCCTAGGGGTAACTTATTTTCCTTTATTACTTCATTATTCATTGTTTCTATGAATGATTGTATTCCTTTTTGGGATAAAGGAATAAAAAGACTGATTCACTCATTCAAGTCGAATGAAATGCCAGAATTGTCGTGTTTTGACTGTTATAGAGGATTTGGTTCAGACTCATAATCGTCTGGTGTATATATGTATATGTCCTTAACTAATTGCGATATTCTCCAACTCAGAAGTTAGATATTGCTGGCTGTTTTTGTGTTACTTTAAATGCTTGTTTTTGCATTCCATGAAGGCTAGTATCGATTGCATTAACTATACGATGTCTGTCTATTCTAAAGGGAGGAATGTTGTCTTGGATGAATATGGAAGTCCAAAGGTAGTTAGTGATGGATTGACTATAGCCCGAGCAATTGAGCTTCCTAATGCCATGGAAAATGCTGGTGCAGCTCTTATCAGAGAGGTCACATAATCATTTTAGTATCGTTCTTCTGATACTATTTGTTGAATTTGTCTACAATCTCACCTTGACATGGTCATTGGCACTGACATCATTTGTTTATTTTTTGGCTGTGGGATGAAGGTTGCTAGTAAAACTAATGACTCTGCTGGTGATGGAACAACTACGGCATCTGTACTTGCACGTGAAATAATCAAACTAGGACTTCTCAGTGTTACCTCTGGTGCAAATCCTGTCTCGGTAAAGAGGGGTATTGATAAAACAGTTCAAGGGTTGGTGGGAGAGCTGGAAAAGAAGGCCAGGCCTGTTAAAGGTCGTGATGATATCAAAGGTATTCTGCATAAATAGAAAACATATCTGCATGCTAAACTATTTGCCACTAGCAATCAAGCCCCACTTTATTTTTTGTGGTTACTTGTACTTTACTTCCAGCTGTGGCTTCCGTATCTTCTGGAAATGATGACCTTATCGGAACAATGATTGCTGATGCAATTGACAAAGTCGGGCCTGATGGTGTTTTGTCCATTGAGTCATCATCCTCATTTGAGACCACAGTTGATGTTGAGGAAGGAATGGAGGTATGTCTGTTGTGGATATTTAACCCATTGATATATTCTTTTTCATTTACTATAGAAGTAACCTGGAAATCTTGATAGCACTTATTCTTATTCGAGTTATCTTTATTTCTTTTTCCTACTACTTGCAGATTGACCGAGGTTACGTCTCTCCACAATTTGTAACAAATCCCGAGAAATTGATTTGTGAATTTGAGACTGCAAGAGTGTTGGTAACTGATCAAAAGATTTCAGCTATAAAGGACATCATTCCCCTGTTGGAGAAAACCACTCAATTAAGATCTCCTTTGCTAATAATTGCTGAGGATGTCACTGGAGAGGCTCTGGCCACACTTGTGGTGAACAAGCTGCGGGGTATACTTAATGTTGCAGCCATCAAAGCTCCTGGTTTTGGTGAAAGGAGAAAAGCTATCCTTCATGATATTGCCATTTTGACTGGTATGTTAGCTGCCTTTTTGTTCTTTCTTTTTTCAAATTGGGAACTTTACTCCTTGGTTAATAGTGCTTTATTGATAATGTAAACTGCAGGTGCCGAGTACCAAGCTACTGATTTGGGTTTGCTCGTTGAGAATACTTCTGTCGAGCAGCTTGGCATAGCCAGAAAGGTGATCATCACCAAGGATTCAACTCAACTCATTGCTGAGGCAGCCTCTAAGGATGAGATACAAGCTAGGGTGGCACAACTAAAGAAGGAGCTAGCTGAGACAGATTCTGTCTATGATTCGGAAAAATTAGCAGAAAGGATTGCCAAACTATCTGGTGGTGTTGCAGTAATTAAAGTGGGGGCTGCAACAGAGACTGAACTTGAAGATCGTAAGCTACGAATTGAAGATGCCAAGAATGCTACATTTGCTGCCATAGAGGAAGGTATTGTGCCTGGTGGTGGTTCTACATTAGTTCATCTCTCAAGTTGTGTTCCAGCAATTAAGGAGAAGCTTGAAGATGCAGATGAGCGCATAGGAGCTGACATTGTGCAGAAGGTAAACATTCTGAAGATTTGCGGTCTAAGTAATGATTGAACTTATAGTGATTAATTAATTTTGCATGCAGGCTCTGGTTGCACCAGCGTCGTTGATAGCTCAAAATGCAGGAATGGAAGGTGAGGTAGTGGTGGAGAAAGTGAGGAATAGTGAATGGGAGGTTGGTTACAATGCAATGACAGACAAGTATGAGAACTTGCTGGAGGCGGGTGTAATTGACCCAGCAAAGGTTACAAGATGTGCTCTACAGAATGCATCTTCAGTTGCCGGAATGGTCCTTACCACTCAAGCCATTGTTGTTGAGAAGCCCAAGCCAAAGACTCCGGCAGCTGCCCCTCCTCAAGGTCATATGGTATAATCTGTTGACGCTTAATAGGTTTTTCTAGAACCGTGAATCACCAATAAAATGCCAGATGAATAGAGACGTTCCTCATTTGATATTTGTTTTTCTATTGTATGTGCTAGAGAATAATATATATTAGAATTGCGAAAATATATTCTTAAATATGCAATTCAGTGGCATGCTTTGATTTTACATGGAAGCTTTCCGGGGTGACCAAGCGTCTAATTAGGCTTCTTCTCTGCATAATTTTGCCTTGCTTTGCACCTTGAGAAAGCTACATAGCATAAAGGAACGATATTGTTTTCCCCAATCTACTGATAGGTTGGTGAAGGTTCTTTTCGTAAGAAGTGAATGATAGAACCAAAACATAACTTGAATAAAAACATATACTTCATATCCATACAATTAAAAATTAAATATTGGATATGAAAATGTACTTGAATCTATTGTTAGAGATATATATTTTTTTCTTTGATAAAATGCATTAAAAATATAAATAGACATCATTTGAAAATCATTCTCATTATAATTGATTATTGGGTCGGTTCTGAATAATTTGTTAATATTTCAATACATATGGCATGTATAATACAATTGACGAGTAAGTAATTGAGAATATTAGTTTTTCAATTCAGTAATTAGTAGGCATTAAGGACATTTTCTGTTGTAAATAGATAAAATGTGATGAACTAAAAGACGATGGATGGAGAATAAGATTCTATAATATTGTGTAAGAGCATGTGGTGTTTGGTAAAAATGTGAGTAAACAGAACAAGTAAAGGGCAAAAATCTGGACCTCTCGATTTTGTTGGGCTGATAATTATCTGTTGGACTGTAGTATTTAAGGGGTATTTAAGTTGTGAGCATTCATGGTCACATGGGTGTCGAATTAAAACATTTAATTGTGGTGGACATGACTGTGGGTCCAAATTGAAACATTCAGTTAGAATGTATCCAGCACAATCATCAGTAATTGACAAGTATACATACGTCTTAACAACATATCTCAGACTAATCAAGATTTGAACTACTTGACAAGTATGCATGGTGTATGGATTGTGATTTATTTGTGAATAGGGTATTTTCTCCATGGTTGGTCCCAAATGACGTGAAAAATCTTCCCAACCCAAGTCTAACATCAAGATAAGGATCTAAAATGCATCACATCTTTGCTGTTTCATGAAAGCTCAGCTGCCTCTGGCCCATTTCAAGATTCCATTTATAACTCTCTGCTTGCACATTTTTCTATCATCGCGACAAGCAGGTTTGGTGGGTGAAAATTGCTCCACATTAAAGAAGCAAAACCATATCGATAATGACCCTTCTTTATTCTTTAGCCTTGCTGGATATCAATTTGGTTCCAGTTATGGTCCGAGTGCTCTAAACCTACATGTGATGTTGAGAAATAAATGGGAAGTGGCCCTTGGGATACAAGTTTGATACATATGGGGTAGGCCTTAATTGTTCACACATTGTAAACATGCAACAAAGTAGTTACAACTAGAAAGTGCGTATGTAAACCCTCCTAGTAATAAAAGTATTTATTCCCTTGCCCAATAATCTTTTTTTTTTTATTTTTTAAATGCTGTCCAACATCTCAATGTAAATGGGAATATTTTCGTTGAAATTTATGCATGGTGTAGGGACAATATTCATCTCATTAGTTTACATTTTCGCAATCCTATGATTATAAATAATATTTTTTTACTTAAGTTTATTATCTTAATTATAAGATTTCATTTAAAGATAGGTTTTATCAACTTGCAAATAGATTTTCATTTGAATATAAATTTAATGTATACATTTCCAACTTTTTATTGTTCATTTTAGCTTACAACAAAAATTTGTAGACCTTTTTAAAGTCTTCCTTATTGTGTGATTCTATATACCTTAGATTGTAGCATATCAAAGACCGTTCTAATTCTATCTACGGAACATATGACTTTTTCTTTGGTTTAGGCTACTTAGAGGCGGTGGGATTTCTTTTATTGTTTCAAGACTTGTCGATTTGACCATGTCAATTTTACCTGCAAAGGAAATATTCTTGAATTATAGTACCATATATTTAGAAATATATATATATATATATATATGTAGTTTTCACTTAAATATTTAATTTCTAGATAAAAAGTATCACATTGGTTCTTATACTAAATCTTATAGTTATAGCAATATCAATACAAATAGCATGTTAAAATTGATATTATCATCTAATATATTAATATATACGATAAAATAAGTTATAAATATAAAATACTCTATCAATCCGATGAGAAAGTGATGTTACTCGGAAGCTAATAGACAAGAAGGGGCATCCATTATCTGAAAGGGCTTCTCGAATCTGCAACTCAACGTGGGAGCGAGGAAGGTCGCATAGACAAAGTCAATAAATTAGATGGGCCTGATCGGATCATATGTAGAGTCAGAGGGGAGAAATTGATAATCAGTGCATCATAAAAAGGAAAAATCATGGTCAAACTGTTTCAATTGGTTAAATTTGGTTGAAGTCGTTAAGCGCAAGGAGCTGCTTTTGAAATTCTCGCATATTGGCTTCAAACCCCTCTGACGATTTCAAAGTTATGTTCCAGCCAATGTTTCATTTGGAAAATGAAAAGAAAAGGCTCACATTGGCAACTCAAAGCACAAAGACATGGTGACAAGAAAGGGTGTTAAAAAATATTCGACCCGGTTCATCCGACCTGGTTAAAAAATATCGAGTATTTATTTTGAAAATACCCGATTTTTGGATCGAGTATCCGGCCCGTTAAATTTTTTGGGTTTCTGGATTGGACTCGAGGCATAAAATCTTACTTAATCGAGTACCCTCTTTATTTTATATATATATATATATATATATATATTTTTATTTTATATTAAAATTTTAATTATAATTCTCAAATTATTTCACTATAACATTCAAAATTCAAAATTCTGATTGCCGGAGGTCTTCCACGGAAGCTGCTCTCAACATGACGTTGGGGGCTGCCTACTATCCTACCTCTCCCTCTCCCTCAACCCATTACATATGAGAATAGAGTCAGCTAAATTTTTTTATTCAAAATTCAAAATTTCTTAAAGTTTACCTCCATAACATTCTAAATTTTTGATTTCTTAAATTATTTCACATTAACATTCTAAATTATTTTTTAAAATATTTATTTGAACTTCAAAACATTTAAAATTTAATTATATTTTTATTTTATTTTTAATAAATTTTCTTTCAATTATGTAATTTGAATTTTTAAACCTTATGTGTGAATTATATATTATAGACATTTATATATTATAATTTTATAATTTTTTATATAATTTTTGTTTTAAAAAAGTATTGAACATTATCAGTGGCCCGAAAATACAGGTACTCAGGTTTTAGTACTCAAATGTAATGGACCGAAACATAGGCAGACATCTTATACCCATAAATTCTGAATATCGGATATTTTAGGTACTAAAATATCCGATTTTGACGCCCCTGATACCAAGTGACAACTTGCATAAAACCAACTATGAAATATAAAAAATAACGGATAAAATAAACAAAAACCTTAATTATATGGAAAATATTATTAGGTCAAATAATAATATTTTTATATCCAATGCACATTTCCCCTTGACTTGGTGGGCTTTCTCTACATATACGGTTCGGTATTTTAATAAAATATTATCAGATGAAAATTATCGGGAAACAACTAACATTATTAGATTTGATAATTAGTTCAAAGATAATATTATTTTCAAATATTGGATGAGTCGAAGATGTTAAATATTTTTTTCAATATTTTTTAATTATTATTTTCAATTATTTTCATATATTACGAATTGAGCAAACTGAGTTGGAAATGTTGTCTTTACCTTTATAATATTCGATCTGAATTAATCAATTAATAGATTAGATACCAGTGATTATATCAAAAATATTTATTTTAATTGAGTATATGTTAAATTATTTTTTTATTAATCTAAGGTTAAATATTTAAATTCACAACAATAATGTCTTATTAAATATTTAAATATAAAAGTTAAAAGATAATAATATATGATTTAATTTAAATTTAGATTAATGAAGACATAAAATGACATGAAAAAAATTGAATGTCTAAAACGGTTACATCCAAGATAAAATGATATGATATTATTATATATTTTTTATTAATCTAAAGTGATATTATGATATTATATTTATTAATAGACGAGTTTGTAACGCGTAACGATCATTGATGAACACCGTTAACGATGATCATTATTAATTTAATTTATAAAACTTTAAAATTGTAAAGTATTTAATGTATAATTATAAATTATTTAAAAAATATATGCGTAAATTATTTAGAATAAAATATTAATTATTTTTTTATAATCTTATTTTAAATAATAATTAGAACAAATATTAATCCCTAAATTGAAAAACTTTAAATTCTTTTTTCTTGCTTTGAAGTTGTCGTCATTGTAACCGTCGTTGCCGCTGCTTTCGTCGTTTTACATGATATTTGTAACATAATTTTTATTTGTGTATTGTATCGGTTAATTATAATTTAATTTTAAACTATTAAGCCATGCTCATACATGTTTACATGGTCGCCATTAACCATAAGATACAAACGACGACAATAAGAGTGACAGCGACATTGATGGTGACGGTGGTGACAACTTCGAAGCAAGGATAAATAATTTTGAGTTTTTAATTTAGGGTCTAATATTTGATATAATTATTATTTAAAATAAGATTATAATAAATAATGTAATAAATATTTTATATTAAATTGTTTACTTTTAAATTTTTAACTAATTTATAATTATATGTTGAGTATTTTATAATTTTAAAGTTTTATAAATTAAATTAATGGTACTCATTATTAGTGGTGCTCATCGGTGTTTGTCGAACGTTATAGAATTTTCCTTAATTTATTAAACTTTATGAGTATATTTTAAGAAAAATTTCTCACAATATCAATTATGAAAAAATACCATTTAAATAATTTTAACTTATTTTATTTTTAATAAATTTTTTGTATATGTTTATATTATTTTAGAAATTTAAAATTCAAACATTGATATTTAATGATATATGAGATCACCAATCGATCGATTTTAATGATTAAAAATTATTATTATTTTTTAAATTTTATATTCAAATATTGCATATGCAAAAGCATGAAAGAAGTGGTTTGATAAATTTATTAATGTTTATTATA